CTGTAGCTGCCATATGTGCCCACCAGTCACACCAGTGTTTGTGCAGTTCTTTGGCTTCCTTCTGGAGATATGCTCTGACCACCTCCCTGCCCTCTTCGGGGACCACCTTCCCTGTCCCAACCAAACTGCCACTCACATGGAGCAACACTCCCATGTACACTGCCTGCTTTCATTTTGCCCGTCTCACCTAGCAGAATGTGCTTGCTTGCAGCTAACATCCCAAAAAGGGTCATTCAGCTGCTGCTTATAGTTGACCTCGAAGAAAGCACATCCGTGAACTTTACCTAGGTTTGTGGTCTGCTGTAGCCCAACACCACACTTGTTGCAGCTTTTGTCCAAACACTGACATGAAGACAGATCCATAGCATCTACCAGCCAGTTTCTTCTGCATCCTAGCATGGTCTAGCTATGGTTAGCCTGTGGTTAGCCTATGGTTAGCCATAGTCTTGCAGATCTTCCCCAGAGGGTTCCTGACCAAAAAAGATATGAGCAGAGGAAGAAGCCTGTGATGACCACAACTATGGCACATTTGCATTCACAGTCATGCCTATCTTCTTTCCCAGAGATATGTTCTTTTTCTTACTGGTGCTCATATTTGCATTTCCAGGTCATTCTCCTGATGTGTTTGCAGTCCTGACTTCCCTTAATTATTTGTGTGGTATCCAAGGTCACTGTTGCCCCTTTTTCCTATGTTGTCAGTAAAGCTTTTTGCCACAACTGCTGCATTGAGCTGTTAGCCATAGTCTTGCAGATCTTCCCCCAGTGCCTCCAGAGTAAGGAACACATGAGAGATTGGGTGGGAGCAGGCTATCACCTTTTAGTTAAGTTCCTCTCTGCAGGTGCTGATGTTGTGCTACAGTTCCTGTTGTTGGACCATCACTGTTTTGAAGTGGGGAAGAGGGAGGAGTGCAAGTGTGTAGAAGCAGGAGTGTGCTGAGATTCCTGGGCAGAGTTCATCTCACCTGGCATTAGATGTCTGTAGTATAAATCTCTCCAACTGGGCTACTCAATCTTGTTTCATTTGTACTCACTGCAGAGAAAAATAAACGTTCAGGGCAAGATACATCTGACCTATTCTGGCACATGCCCCAGACCTGCTGTAACAGAAGCCCAGGGTGATTATCCTGGGTGAAAATGCCCAAGTCTTGTTGGATTGGACTGACTCTGTGCCTAGTTTCATCTTTCAAGCAAGCATTTCACAAGCAGGCACAGCGACAGAGCAGAGGCTGCACAACACCGTCCAAAAGGAGGAGCTGGAGCTGTTATTCCTAGACAGAGAGTAAGCAAATAGCTGAAGCATATGAAAAATATCAAGGAAGACTGGAAAGGATTCAGGTTCCACCTCAAGGCTTTTTAGGAGACAGAGAGATGCCCTAAAGTTACAAAGAGGTCAAAGCCAATTGCCTGGAAGTAGAAACTGATGAATGCTTGGGTGTTCAAACAAGGTTTTAAGTGCAGCCACAAACTACCCAATCATGCCTGGCAAAGGTGTTTGAGGATCTGATCTGAAGCACATCTAGCTGGGCTACAAGGTCTTCTTGTAAATAGAAGAGAGTCAATATGTGCTGCCCTTTCTGGCACTTGCTAAAGGATGGGGGTCCTAGAGAACAGCTTTCCACAAGAACATTTGAGAATTTGCAAAGCACAGAAAACCATCCAGTGCAGACCAGAAGCAGAGCCTGGCATTGACACTGCACTCCCTATTCTCTCTGTACTCACTGCGTCCCTTGGAGGCACAAACTCGAGCTGCCCCAGCTGGAGGCAGGGGGATGACGCTAGATTGAGCGGCCATGCTCTGACAGCGCCAAAGAAGTAACCCTGGATGGAATTATCCAAATCTGGCACTGATCCTAGCATGCTGTTTAGAACCAGATGACAGTCTGCATTGGCCCGGACTCAACTGAGGATCAGGAGAAGGGGTTAAGCAGCACCTGCACCTGCATTAGGCAGGGAGCTGAGGAACAGAGTGGTGTGACACTGACAGGTCCTAGCAAGGAGCTCGGGATGGCACACTGCGAAGCACAGCGAGGATGACAGCCAAAGGCAACAGCTGAGAGAGGGCAGGCTGGGAGGCTGCAGGATGTGCTGCAGAGCTCGAGCCCTTCCATGCGAATGGAAGGCTGAATACCATGGGGCCTGCACACAGAAATGTGCATCTCACATACATCATGGAACAGGGGTTGCTCATTTGATTAATGGCCTTTTTGGACAGTTAGAGAAATTGTTAGATGCAGTTAGTGAAACAAAAGAGATTGGCAATCATGTGAAAAATAAGGAAGAGAGTTCAGTGAAATCCTGGCACTGTGAAATGAATGTTATTAATTCAAGGCAAGCCAGGGCAGACTGTCACAAATGTCAAGGCCAGGCCTTGCCCTGCTCAGGAAATGGGCAGACGCCAAGCAAAGAGAGCACAGACCGGTAGTGCGGGCAGCGGCCCCGCAATCTTTCTGTAGATCTGGGCAGCAGAACAAGGGTAATGGGCACTTGGCCACGGAATGCAGAATGGGGCCTGGGAAGTGCCTGGGAACTGTAGCCAGGGGCTTGTGTGTAATGGTTATTAGGACAGACGTGTGAGAAGCGCTAACGGCCGAGGACGCAAAGTGCGATGTCTGGGGAGCCTGGGCTGCAGCAGCGGGAGAGAGCGTGCTGCAAAACAACACCCGAAAGCTGGCGGGCAATGGGCTGAGAGCGAGAGCCCAGGTGGAGCAGAGGGAAAGTCTACCCCTAACCTCCAACCTGAAAGCAAGGGGAGTGCACGGCTGGCGGGTGCCTGTCCTCACAGTATCTGCAGGGATGTGGAGGTGTGATGCAGGGACGGGGATCTCAGGGTGAGGACTGTGGGTGTCAGGTCTGTCTGGTGGCAGGATGCAACGTGTCTCGGGCATAGCAGTCTCATGGGGCAGCAGCGCATGGCCTGAGTGGGATGGTACCCTTCACTGAAGGACCCACAGCAGAGCCACTGCAAGGAAAGTCTGGGAAAACTCCAAGACCTAAATTTCATCCAGGCAAGGGCAGTACATGTGTACAGCTGGTGACAAGTCCAGAAAGCCGTTGAGGCCGTTGGTTCTGTTGCTGGCAGCTCCTCTGCATAAACGATGGCAGGATCTGGAGCGATCGGGTAGACCTAGGGCTTCACTGCATGATGTTTGCATTCACCAGGGAACAGCTTCACCCCACCGGCAGGTGAGGGCAAGACTTTTGCCTTGGGGACCTCCATTTGGGTCTTGTCCAGGGGAGGTGACTGGGCAGGTTCCTGTGAGAGTCGTGGTTTCTCGGAGGGGACATCATGGTCAACATGGAAGTCTGGCTGGCCCAAGCCACTTGTGTTGGGTTTGCAGTCTATGATAGAAAGTGGAATAGAGAACAGGTCTCAAGAAGAGAGAAAACACTAGGGCCTCCAAATTACAGGGCGATTAAGGCAGAAAGAGCTTTTTTTGCATACCTCTAAATGCAAGCATCTTTTTGGATACCTGTTGGACTTGAGATCTTAATAGTTAGACAAAATATGGTTAGACAGGCAGATGGCAGAGGTACAGAGCACAAGCAAAGCTGTGAGATCGAAATTCTGGGCAGACAGAAAGGAGCAGAGAGAGGTAGCACTGGGGCACCCTAATAGCTCAACTCTGCATCACAGGCAACTCTGCATACGTAGGGATCCTGTTTTGGCATCAGCTTAGGTGATTTGGAGGGTTTCTTCTTCAGAATTTGACAGTTTAACATGAGAAGACTTTATCTAAAATAGCTCATGGAAATGAATTCCGGCTAATTACAATCACAAGACCTGAAGCTAGAATTTCAGGTGCTTCCCAATGATCACATTTCACTGAAGATCTAAAATTATTATATAAAATCTGAAGATTACTTGTTTTGCCTTTCCTCTTTTTTTTGCTGGGGCTGCGTTTGTGTGGATTACGGGTTTATGTGTTTAGCAGATTCTGCCAAAAGAGAATGGGCAAAGTCCTGTGGATCTTGCCAGAGCAGCTATAGTCTCCTAGAATGGAGGAGCAGGTAGTGGCACTGAGAGGATCCTTTGCACCGTACCTCTTTGAGGACAAGAAGAGAACAGTCCCATAAGCTCATATATCCTCTGCAGCTGATTTGTGGAAGCAGAAGTATCTGTTGCAGTAAGAAGCACTCACAAGGTCTTGTTCTTGTCCCATCATTGCTCTGAACGACAACCAGCACCAAGGCTCCAGGCAGAGCTCACCCCCAGGTCACCCCCAGTGACAATTTCCAGGGGCTGGAACATCAAGCCCAACATATTTCTGTAGTAGAACTGGTCTTCCTTTTGGGGAACTCTAGTCCGTGTTCATATCACTGCTCATTGCTTAGTATACTTGTACCTAGAGAGCCAGCGACCACTGCTCCTGGCTGGCTCTCCATGCTTGGTTGCTAGAGGAGGTGATATCACTGGCTGCAAAAATCCCCAAGAGACAGGGCTTGCAGAGGAAAGCTTGGATGGAGAGGACAAGTCCTGCTGAGACTGGTTCCTAGTGCAGCCACATAAAAGTGCTGGTTTTTATCTGGGGATGGTGGTGGGGGGCCTGAAGGAGTCAGCAGGAGAAGGCTGAAGACTGTGAAGTTGAACGGCTAGTTTTGAAAGTTGAGGAATGGGAAGTGACAAAAGCCTGAGTCCTTTTGCCCAGGGAGGAAATGTTCTTTGCACTAATGGTCCACTCAGCAGTTTTCATGGATGCAGCTCATTGCTGGAAGGCCAGCCCTAGAGCTGATGCCACTGCAGAAGAAGCAGAATCAGAGTAGCTAAGTCCTTTCTTCCTTCCAGTAGATTTGCTTGTACAGCCAGTGAGACATAGCACATGTGTGGTAGGAGACTCAGACGTTGCTGACAGGGAAAGGCAAAACTGTGCTGATGGCTGTGACAGGTTACATGCTTTTCCAGCGTACTTTACATACTGTGGTGCAGAAGAGTTTTTGTCTTTAGGCCAAATCAGTTGGACTTCAAAATCCTGAGATGACCAAGAGGCTGTGTGGGATCTGGACACAGAGGCTGACTTTTCTCCCCGTCCTGGTCCTCAGCTCAGCCGTACTGGAACATACCTGCATCTTCATGCATAAATCTGCACAAGAAGGGGGAAGGAGAAGAAATGGAAGAGCATCCACTCTTCCATTGGAACATGGGGAACAGGGACTGAAATATGTTCCTGGAGATGGGTCTAGCTGCTCCTCTTGAGTAGCCTTTTCTTTGGAGTTCACTGTGATCTTGGATCTTAAGGGCTAGGGTCAGTTGCCCTCCAGGTATAAAATGTTTTTAGGTTTTTATTAGAAAGGTCTTATGCTAGAGATCTCTGGAGAATTGCGATGCCTGAGGAGCACATGTAAGTAATATGTGCCCAAATTTCAGGCTCTGGGGAAGCTTCAGCTCCCTAGTTTAAAGATGCACAATGTTTTCAGCACTTCAGGCTGCTTTGGGAACTAGCCAAAAATCCCTAGGCTATACCTCATTTGTATATAATCTGCATGTGAGTTTTGCTATGAAATAAATGCCGACTGGCAAGAGAACACAGTTGTTTATATACAAGGGCGGGTATGCACAGATCTTTACAAACACAGAAGGAGTTTATGTGCAGGGTGAGGGGATGCCAGGGTGGAGATGCAACTTCCTATACCTCTGAAAGCAAATATTTGCTCTCCCGTTTCCCCTTGAGTATGTGCACTGTGGAAAGAGGGTCATGCAAGAGCTTCGCTTTTTTTGTCACGTTCCCATAGGAAGCATCTGCTCCCAAATGTATGTTGCCGAAAAAAAAACATAAATACAAACATGTTCTTTTAGTTTCTTTCTGGTTCACAGACACTTGCAGCAGCTTGGGATTCATTTCTCTGAAGCTTGGAGATGACCTGTCAGTTGTATCCAGCCTAGGAATCTCACAGGTTCATCAGCTGCTGGGAATTGGGTGCAAGAGCTGGGGTACCTCTCCATGGACCAGATAAGTGGCAGGACTGCAGTCACACAAGGCCTTGCAGTGTTTGCCTTCTTCCTTGGAAAATGCAGTAAGAGAGGGTAAAGGCTGAAGGAGCTGGAGGGATGGGGGCAGGCACCATGCAGGAATGGGGGAGGACAGGGTGCAGGGTTAAAGTGAGGGTGCCTGGAGAGACCCCAGCCTGGAGTCCATCTTCTGGGGAAAGGTTTTGTTGCAGCTGCTGCTGAGAACATTTGAAGAATGGATTCAACATTGGGATCTACCAAGCAATGAGGACATCTTTACCATGCAAAGTTGGGGCCAGGGCATGCAGGGACCCAGTTTTGCACCACAGTATCTACAGCAGAGTTAGGGAAGTGATGCGGATCTGCCGTCTCCTGCCTAACGTTGCCTGGGAACACCTGGCAAGGACACAGCGTTGGCATAAGGGCCACCTCCAGTCAAATACCATCATTCACCTTTTTGCTTTTCCTTGCAAGAAGTTTGGGAATCAAAATAATTTAGGTTGTCCTGAGCAAACAGAGCGCCCAGCTTAGAGAAGAGTAGCCTGTTTAATTCTAGTATGAAAGAAACTCTTGGCTTTTCTTAAGAAAAATAAAAACAACAACCCAAAAAAAACCCCCAAAAAACAAAAAAAAAGATCTTGTGAGATAAAGAAACCAGGGGCAGGGTGTAGGGAGCAGGAGCCAGGAGGGTCTGCCTCGCGGGCAGCCCATTTCATAAATAATGGAGAGGTTTTTAGCCCAGCCCTGCTTGCTCCTCTTGGGAGGCTTTTGCAGAGCCGCCCCTAATCTTCTGATGGTTTCAGCATTTTTTTTTCCAATTTCTACTCAAAATATATTCATGAACTGTTTATCCCATTTGCTCTTGTGCCAGCACTGGCCTAGCATTTAAAAAGCAAGCTGTCTTGCTGGTGTTTACCCTTCCCTCCCTCTCTTTCTCCCAGAAAATATTCATAGAGTGTTATCACATGTCTTTTAGCCATCATTTCTCCATGTTAAACTTTGCGGGGCTGACCTATGCTGTATACCTGAGCGGAGCCAGGAGAGCTGTGCTTACCAGCCCAGCTCAGAGCACACCTGAGCACTGCACTGGGACGGAGGTATCTGACAGCTGAAGGAGCTACACAGCTTCCCAAAATCCCAGGGAGAATCAGATGGGTTAGACCACAGCTTATACCGGGCCGCACTCAGAGCACTGCTGGACGTGGCAGTCTTCTTCAAACCAGATGCACCATGCCAAGGCTTTTCCACTAACGTAATTCTCCTGTAACTCCTTTCTTCTAGACCACGTTGTACCACAACAGTGCTCATACCCACCAAGAGGCTTTTGCTTTCTGACCAGAAAAAAGAAAAATGGGATGTGGAGAAAAGAAGACCTGAGAACTGACCTGAGCACTAGGCAAAGCTTGAGAATAGTTTTTAAGGGAAATCATAATTAAAAGCTTTGAAATAAATAGAAAGTGGGATTAAAAACCATGCTGATTTACCAAAGGTGTACTGTGGCAGGTTGGTTTGATGTCTTTCTTTAAGAAGGTAGCTGATTTCCCTGACAAAAGAACTGGAATCTATCTCATCTCCCTGAACCTCAGTCAAGCATTAGATGTAATGCACACGAGGAATTATTAATTAAACTGGTGAAGATGGGGATTAATCGAGAAATGATAAGGAACAGGGTAAGATGGGAAATGGCTGGAGGGGAAGCAGCAATGGATAGTGTTAAAAAAGCAAGCACTAAGCTTCAGGCAGGCTACTAATGGAGTTTCTCAAAGATCCATTTGGGGTCTGATTTTGCTTAATATTTCCACTAATGATCTTTGCACAAAAGGTAGAAGACTGCTGATAAAACCTGCTGATGATTCCAAGGAGGAAGCCAATGCATGGCAGGATTGGAATATCAAACAGAAGCAATTGGGTGACCTTAAAGACGGCAGTAAGAGACCTGGAAGGAAATTCAATAGTATAAATGTGAGGTCAGGTACTTAGGAACTAATGCAGGAACTTCAGCCGTGGCTGGAAGTAAATGAAAAGCACAGGAGCTTGCTGTGGGAGCCAGTCACAGAACAGCCATAAACTGCCCGAGTGATTCAGCAGCGAAAAAGGCCCACGTGAGCCAAGCTGTAATGTTTCCTGGAGAGAGAAACCTCTCAGTGCTGCAGACAACATGTTTGTGAGGCCTCACCGGGAGCGTGTCTTGTCAGCACTGCTCTGTCAAACACTGTCTTGATATGTTCTTTGGAGAGGGAAGGGAAAAGTTTAGTCCACCTGCTCACCAGGATGGTTCAGAGGCAGCTTCAGGACACCAGGACGGGTCAGGGGGGATGTTTCTTTGAGCTAGTGGAGGGCACTGGCACAAAAGAAAAGAGGTTTGAACAAGCCTTGAGTCCTTGGCGCTGGAAATAAGATGCCTTCTGGGGCACAGCAGTTCTGAAATAACCTTCTGCTAGCAGAAGTGAGGATGGAAAGCAAAATGCATTGGACAGTTGATGCAATGAGTTGCATAACATGGTGCAAAAGCTGGAGGGGATCTGGGACACCATGGTCCTGCTGATCCCCAAGAAAGCTCAAGCCTCATGACCCTGCAGAGCTCGTGCACGTACATGCTCCAGGTTTGCATATAAGAGTCAACCGGCCTAACGCTCTTGCCCTTTTGTTTTTACTGCACTTTTCCCCACTCACTATCTTGAGGTTGGGCCAAACTGGGTTAAAAGGTCATGTATTAAAATATGCTACCTGCCACACACTTAACTTTTTCTGCATTTTTGCAGAAATGGCGTGTTATTGCTACAGGTGTTGCGACACATGGCAAGGAGAGGGGCTGTGTGTGTCTGTGGCTCAATCTCAGTGTTTGTGGACATCAAATCTCTGCTGTAGCCACTAGTTTTGGCTTCTGTGGTGTGTCCTAAAACACCAGCAGGCCTGTGTAGGTGCAAAACTGGACTGGGGTGGGCTGGTGCTGGGTGTCATTCCTTTTTGTTTGGAGTTCCCAGAGCACACAGGGCTCTGAGGCTGGGGATGTTAGTACTGATGCATGGTGTTCCCCCATGACATGACCTGACATGGCTGACACGGCACGTCTCCACATGACCCGACAGCTCAGGACATTCAGCTGCACTGTCAGTGCGCACAAGCCGTGCACCAAGCGCAGCAGGGCCTGGCGCTGGAGCCAGCTGTTTCTGCTTCCACTTCATCACTCCTCTTGGACAGGCTCCTCAGCACTGGCAGCAGCAGCAGGTCCTTGACTTGCGAGCTCACGGACGTCAGCTCTTGGAGAACGCTTGCGTGTCTGTGTCAGAGCAGTGACAGAGATTGCCAGGCATCCCGCGGTGACATGGCACTTCTGGGACGCAGCAGGCACCACTGCCGGTGGGACACGAGCCCGGCTGCTGGGTGCCAGGAGAGCAAGCTCCAGGAGAAAGTTGCAGGTGCTCAAAGCTCTGAGGAGGTCCACACACCTCAACCACACCAACCTCTTCTGTCCCTCTGTGCTGGGCAGCGTATTGCAGCCATTATCTCAGTTTCCCAAACACTGGGGTTGCTCGGGAATGGGTGTGGGATGAGGAATGCTCCTGGTGCTCTGCTCCCCTCCACACTGGCTGCTGAGGACATCCTTGTTGACTCCTGCAGCTCTTCGCCAGCATTCCTGGAGAAGAGGCCAGCCTTCCTCCTCTGCACGGTGACCCTGACTGCTGCTACAGAGACTGTGCTCTCTCCTGACACATCGCCGATAGCTCCGTGTTATTGTTGCTACAGGAATATCCAGACACCTGGTTTGAGATCCTCAGAGCCTGGCTGGGATTCAATTCTACCCAGTATCAGTTTCATTACTTGCTCCACATCCTGAAGCATGTGAGAAGAAACAAGACAGTCATTCAGCTGCTAGGAAATCCTTATCACTTCTCCATGCCTGTGAGAGCTGGGAAGAAGGTCTGCCCTGGGGCTAAAGGACAAGCAGGTCTGCCCTGGGGCTAAAGGACATTCCTTTCCTCCTTGCCTCGGCAGGGTCCAAGAGCAGGAAGTGAACCCTTGAACACTTTAAAACCCCTCCTGCAGAGACGAATGTGTTTTCCAAGG